GCTGAGGCAGCAGCAGCAGGACGAGTTTCGTCGCAAGCAGGAGGAGCGCGAGAAGGCGCAGGAAGAGGAACGGATCCGACTGCATCAGATGCTGCAGGAGAAGGAGTTGAAGCGGCAGCAGGCTCTCGTGATCCAGGAGCAGGTTTGTTTGTGCCGGATTCAGCGTTTTACCGTTTGTTTTGTCGATTTCAGTGAAAACCGCATTACAGTGTATCCTCGGTTAACAAACGTTTCGGGTGACAAACTTTTTGTTTCGAGGAAAAATCCCTTTGAAAACAGGCCAAAATCTGTTTACGAAACTCTTTGCTTGGAGAAATTCTGAAGTTGATTTCAAAACTGAAATGCATGGTACAATCCAAGTGAAAATAATTCACCAAAATGCACCTACATGAAACTTCTCTTGTAAACTGTAAAAACATTCTGGGCCATAAGTTAATAAGTTGTAATGTATAAGTTGATAATTAGTAAGTTGTTGCTAGATACGGCAACACCTTATTTTGATCATACTGTAGTAGATTTTCTTGAACTTTTTATGTTTGATGTTCAATTCTCTTCTGGGTTCATGGAATTGATTATATTCTTCCCCATTAAAGTCTACGGGAAAATGAAATTTGGTCAAAAACTTATGTTTAGAACCAATTTAGTTTGTTGAACAAGATTTGTCGTACAACAAACTTTTGGAACTTTTTGAGAAAATATTTTTTATGCTATTACCGTAATTTGTTACTCTAACCTCGAATTTTTGACGACAATTTTGCTCAAAAACCTATCCCAGCTTAAAGCCCGCGAGGTTTTTGTTTTTGCTGCAAATCGATTTTTTTCTCCCCTTGATTATAATTTCAACTGAACGTTGTTGAAATTGAATGAAAGGACAATAGGACATCGAAACAGGAATGGCTAAAACAAAATTTCACATCCATTTTTAATCGAAGATAGTAAAATTTAGTTACAATAAACTTTTCGGCACTTCAGAAAAATTTCGTTTCACTAAATAATTCGTAATAACGAGATTTTTAAAATTAATTACTGAAAATTTTCACATCTGATCAGCCTAGTATCCGTTACATCTTTCTTTTCTGAAATTCTCAAAACATTTCGTATTTAATGAAAAACTGAGTAATCTTCCAAGAAAAGTTATCTTCAACAATGCTTTCCATCAGTTGCATATACATGAATCTCTCTGTTTTGGGAGGATGATGCGTGGAATTCTTTGGAAGCATGTTTCTCGTAGATTACAACACTCCATTCATGCTAAAAGAACCAGTGTCAGTGACATTTGCGATTGAAAATTCAGAACGTGCCTGGTTTAGTAGGAAAATTTCTACCTGGAGAATCTATTGAACGTTTCTCAGGAAAAACTGAAATTTGGAATTTTGTTTGAACATGTAACTCTGTGGGCTTTTGCCAGAACTGTAGAAAAAATTGATTATTCCGAAACATTTATTGTAATTGTACTTTTACTGTAGATCTGAGAAATTTTTATTCGGAATTTGTTTGTTGCGAAGGAGCGAGAGAGACGGCGGCAGCACATGGCCCTGCTGAGATCATTGGACGCCCGGAAGCGGTGGGAAGAGCGAGAAAGGCGTCGCAACGAAGTCAAACTGGAGAAGGAAGCTGTGAAGGACAGGAAGTTGGATCGTCGTCGCATCGAAGTTGAGCTGATGAAAGAACTGCGTCGTGCCGTGGAAGATCTCGAGATTAATGGTGCGTGTGGAGTTGAAATATTGTACTGTACTGTGCAGTCAACCTTCGACTCTGTCCTTGAAAGAAACCCCTGATTTAGGAGCTGCGAAAAAAAAAACTGTCATTTTTGAAAATTGGGTCAAATGTAAAGAAATTGAGGCCATTTTCTGAGGATATCATTGGGTCATAACTGAGAAGCACATGACCATGCTCATTTGAAAACTCGGGGTAATTTTGAGCATCATCCTATTGGATTTACGTCATTGAAGAAGATTTTTGTTATAGTGTGACACCTTCCTTCATTGATAATTTGAAAAGTGGAAGCTCTCCTAGCAAAATTGATGATTCTTTCATGAAGGCAAGACGTATAAATTTCAACGTAGTCGGTTTTTTACGTCTTTTTTACGTAGTCGTTTTCCAAGTCCCTGCCCAATAGCAGTCATGATTTTAAAATCGTGTTCGAACGAAATTATTGATACTTTTTTCGGATTCCTATAACAGCTTCGTTGGGACGATATCTTAGTTATTCGGATGTTTTCGATTTGTTTGGTCTTTACTCTTGCAGGAACGTGATGAAAATTAAAGTCGGAATCGGAAACTGCTTGATGAAAGAAACACGGTTGATTATTATTGTTTGCCAATATTTTCGCCTTCGGGAAGCTCTGAAATGATGTTCATTTTGGTGCATGTACTCTGCGAGGAATGCTTTGTGTGGAGAAAAACATTCTTGAGATTATGATTCTCAACTTGGATTGTAAAGAAGTGAAAGAAAAAGCACGCCATTATGAAGTTATTATCAAGCTCAGTACCAACTTCCGCGAAATTGCTGTACTCAAAAATTGTATTCATGAAGATGCTTTCGTCAGAGAAGCTTTCGAGGTGACTCACCTTCACCTGGCCTAGTCAACATTGTGTGAAAGATGAAAATACCAGCTGCTAATGAAGCCGTGATTCATTTGTTCTATTGCAGACTTGGACGACTTGCCGGACGTGAAACGCATTCCGTGCCTCCGATTGCCCGGCGCTGCTTTTGCCAACATTCTCATGGTCTTTGAATTCCTGCACCAGTTTGGAGAAACTCTGGGCTTTGGNAAGATTTACCTCACCGCCAACGCCAACGGAGAGGTGAAGAGTGCGATGGGCGTCCCGCTGGATCGAAAGGACGTGCTTGTCGAGAAGACTGAGGCCTTCATTCAGCGCCTCAGTCAAAACGCCATCTTCAAACTGAGCGTGCAGTTGCGCGAGAAGCCGTTTTTGTCGCTGAATCCCACTGACAAGTCTGCCATCGTCGCCTTCATTTGCCACGAGCTGCTGCAGAACAAGGCTGTGGTCAGGTACATTGAAGACTCCATCGAGAACCTCAACGCTGTTCGAAAAGACAAGTGGCTCACCGACGGTCATTTGAGAAAGTCAGTATTTTTTTTCATTTCACCTCGTTGTTCGACCGTTTTCAGGTCATAAAAATATTTTATCGTTCTTTTTTTCGTGTGAAGACTCAAGATGGTTTACCAGAGAAAGTACAAGGGTTCTTTGAAGCGTTTGTCGTCCGGACTGCATGTTGCCAATCATCCGGAGGATTCGAACATGTCGACGGTTTCCGGAACGAGCGAAGGTACGAAGGAAAACGAGGAGAATGAGGAAGAAGAAGAGGAAGAGAGCGGAAACGAAAGCGATCAGACTGAAGATTTCGGGAGTGATGCGGTGAGTCGCTTGGTTGTCCAACGACGAGCCTTCACGAGTAGCGATTCGTGAAACTAGTCTTGTGAAAGACTAGTAGAAGAAAGACATTTCAATAGAGATAAAATGAATGTGTATTTGATGGAATTGCCTCAAATCAGGACGTTGAGTGTGAAGTACTTCGAGGAAATGGTTGAAATCACTGCCCTGTTCGAAGCATTTTTCGGAATGAATTTGTGGTGAAGAGCAGCGATCCTCAAATTTTTGAGCCGGCGGACCTCAAATTTTCATTAATTTTTGTGCACTGTTAAAATTCCATGAAATTGTTACAGGCCAGTATAAATTTTTTCCAAAACCTGCCATGAGTCCTCCGAACGAAACATCTATTGCGAAAATCAGAAGCATCTATAGTGGAATGTCTTCTTTTAAAATTGGAAAGGTGGGCTTGAAGAGAGGTTTCTTAATGAAAAATCAAACTTTTTTTTCCAGCATATGAAAATTTGTCCGAAGTATCATTAGACGTAAACCCGACTTTGATTTTTCATCAGATAAATTGAACTGCGATCGTCTTCCCAAATTTCAGATGAAGATAGCAGACTTCATTATTACTTTTGATACATTTTTTATGCGGAAGAGAATTTACCACCCGTACGGCCAAAGAATAATATTTCCAGGCCATGGGTTCATACCAGTGGTTTTTAAGAACGCGATCATTCAACTGTTTTCCTCCTTTGCGAAACAGGCTTTACAAATGCTGGCCGAGAGCATGAGCAAGGAGGACGTTGAGAAGAAAATGGAAAGCTTGATTCTGGACTCTGAGGAGAGGCGATACGCCCTTTGGGACGCCTTGTGTCGACTTCGTGGTCAGCACATTGGTCAAGACA